CAGTCATTTCCTAATACTTTGGCACTACTGTCAGTGTGCACTCTTTTTGTTTGGCACAGGAAGAGGACACAGGGAAATGCTTTTAAAATGTTTCGTTTGTATTTTTTTTAAAAGAGGGAAATAAGGACCATACAGTATAGTGTTCACATTGATATATCAGAGTTGCAGATATTCAAAGATTCTAATTTTTTTTTAAAATTCTAAATCTGAATTTTGGTGCTAGAGATCAGAGTTCCAGATATTCAAAGATTCTAATTTTTTAAAAAAATTCTAAATCTGAATTTTGGTGCTAGGGCACATCCCTAACATTTAATTTGCAATGTATCTTTTCTACTGCAGATTAATTTTGGGACATTCACATAATGGTAAGGCTGCAGAACTGTTGATCATATGATTTGGACCTCAGTGCCCCATAAAATTTAGTCACTTCACCACCAGATATTCAAAGATTCTAATTTTTTAAAAAAATTCTAAATCTGAATTTTGGTGCTAGGGCACATCCCTAACATTTAATTTGCAATGTATCTTTTCTACTGCAGATTAATTTTGGGACATTCACATAATGGTAAGGCTGCAGAACTGTTGATCATATGATTTGGACCTCAGTGCCCCATAAAATTTAGTCACTTCACCAATGGTAAGCGACTGGGAAAGCCACTGCCCAAAATACTCATTCTGGTGCTCATAGTAATGGACATGGGGGTGGACAGGGAAACCTGAAGGGGAGAGGAGACAGGTGGGAGTTGCCAGTCTTGAACCACCTTGGAGGGGAAAAACCATGGAAACCCCAGCCCCCATATATGCTAGGTTAATATAACTGTGCTATGCAAATTAATAGACCTTGCAGTTTTGATACTGGTGTGTGTGTATGTTCTCTTACATCACAGTGATGTACATTAAAAACCTCATTGGAAGCCCCTCTCTGGATGCTGCCCCAAACATACAATCCCAGATGAGAGGGCTTTGTCAGCTGCAGCATCTTACAAAACACTCACTACAATGAGGTCCACCTGTAGAGCATATGCAATTTCCCCCTTTTTTTAAAGGTTCCACCAGCCAAAGAGCTTCTTGTTTTCCAGAAAGTTTCGCCTCTGGACATGAACATGTTTTTTTCCCTCCTGCTGTGATTAATAATACTCCTTTACCCCTTCTTATTGTGATTGTATTAGTTTAGCCTGGAAACGTTGTATTGACAAATACTATAGAAATGGCTCAAACAAGCAAACTGGTGACCTCAGATGAAAATAAATCTAGCAGACAAACCAACCCAGCACAATTCCTGCCTGGCTGCATCAAAGTGTTTTTCTTGTCATTTTGTGTTTTGGTTGGTTGCTTGTCTTTTTTCACTTGTCATAGGCAACCAAGAAATTCAATATTTACGCCTCTGATATACACAAATCTACTACTACTACTGCCACCACTGATACTATAATCTAAAACAAAGCCTAGGCTGGTTTAGAGTCTAAATGAGCACCATAAAATATACCCCAGTATGTCTCAATTTTATTCAGCCCCATTTCCGCAGTTATTTTTCTTTCCATAAGAGAACAGCCATTCACAACCCTCTAGAACAGTACAGGCCATACCACAAAATACTGGGAATCTTCTGATACCATGTTTAAAAGTAAGGTTTGAAAACATATAGTATACAGTCAGAAAGTAAATGTGGGTGACACTTTTCTTAGAAGACTGAAAAATCAGAAACATAGTTTATGTGTTACCTTGAGTTTGTGAGCAAGGACCACATCCCTTTTTTTCCTTCCTTTTTTGATTAGGCTATGGAAGATACCCTGCATAGCCAACCAGGCCACTATCGACAACCAAATGACGAACATTTAATATCGCTCAAGTGGAGCAACAAAGCCTAAGAATGGGACATAATACTACTTTTAATTTGGCTGCAACTGGTCTACTTAGTACATAGGCTAAATTTTATGATTTCTGATTATGAGGCTTGCTACATTTCTCTGTGCTTCTGTTTCCAGCACAAAAGGAACCATTTATTTTGGTTTGAGGCAATGAGAGTGGTGCTGAATTACTGGCAACCCTTTGTCTACAAGATTGGGAGAGACATTCTAATCCAACCACTAGAGGTGAAATCTGAATCCTACACCTCTGATCAGAGTCTGCAGCAGCCATATTGAAACCTGCCTTAAACAAATGAACCAAGCCTACACATCTGGTGATGATTTTTGGAATGTCTGTGTTTTTTTCTGAACCATCCCAGATATGTGATGCCCAGCCTGATGAAGATATGTGTGGGGTTGAAAGCTGTCTGTTTTTTGTTTGTTTCAATATTTTAGAAGCTTCACCACCCTTGCCACTGGATTGTGTGCCACCCAGTTTTTCTCTTTCTTTACACTACGCTATATGGCATTTGCCTTCATCTATATTAACTGTAGGAAAATACACATGCTGAAAAAAATCTGTGTGTGCACACATATGAGTATAGGGTTCCTGTACCTTATATTGATAGTTCATTCTCCCATAGATTTTTCTCACTCTGGTGCTGCCCTGGTGAGCCAGCCAGATCTGCTAGACCAGCTTAGTGGAGCTCTGGTACACTGGAACCAGTTGCCTTTCCTAGTAGTTTCCCTTCCCAGCATATATGCTCAACTAAAAAGAAGAAAAACAAAGATATTAGCGTTAACATTTGCATTTTCTGATAGATATGGATGTACAGTACATTTTGAAATACTTCCCATAATTCATATAGAAATACAGGTCACCATTACAGACTGCTCACTCTCCTATCCAGGTGGCCCTTGCCTGCTCCTCCTCCTTCACACAGTCCCTATCTTTACACTAGACTTGTGCTGAGAAACCCCACTGAACAAACAAAAAAGGCTTTTAAACACAGGATGGTCCTGTTAACAGCGCTCTGAATAACAGAGACAGCCACCACCCAACCTACCAGAAACTGAATCTCCACAGGTTACTGGGGAAGGAGGTCCAGATTTCCTGGCTGCAGCTTTGCCTGCTGGTTCTTATCTCTAACAAGGAAGGGCAGCCCAGCATCTGCACTCAGCAGCTGTAGGTAGAGAAATGGAACAATGGCCTTCACCTCCCTCCCCTTGCAGCTCAATTTCTCACAGGTGGACTCATTTTCACATGGTAACCAGTCTGTGGCATTGGGAAGTAATTCATAAGAGCCTTTTCTTCTCTCCCATTTCTAGGCCCAGAGCAGGCTGGGTTTCTGAATAGCTTCTTCTTCTGTATAGGCAGGCTCTCATAATGCAATATTATTATGACTATTTTTGTGAACCATGAATAATTACTTCTTATTCCAGTATTACACTCAGCCATGTTGTGTGCCATCAAGTTGGAAACTACTTATCGCAATCCTAGTAATCATGAAGTCTCTCTGCTATCAGCTTGCTCAGTGGACTTATGAAAACCACTGCCTCTTGGCCATGGTTCCCTTCTGTGCAGTAATCAACTAATAACTTTAACTTTAAGAACATAAGAAAAAGGATCTGGCAAGTCTAAACAAAAAGCTGTTTATCACTGTCCTGTAGCAGTGAAGTCAGATGGCTTCTGAAAGGCCCCAAGCAGAGTTTGAAGGTAATAGACCTTCCTTACAGCTGATATCCAGCAACTGGTATTCAGACCCAAAACATCTGTTCCTCACAATCTAGCTGCAAAGCGCCACTCAGATCCATGTAACTTCCGGGTCTGCAAAACAGACCTCAGTTCCATGCGACAGCTTCCCCGTCTTTAAATACTCTCTTATTTCCAATCATGGCCTTTATATATTTTCTTATTTTCAGTCAGTGATCAGCAATAATTGTGGAGAGACCTTACTAACAAAAGAGAAACAACTGCAGGCTGCAGAAATCTGCCTCCTGTGTTGTAATGGTACAACAAAATAACACATGTAAAGTCCTTTAATTGTTATTCTTCTTAACCATTCCATGTTTCACAGATTAGATACATCGACACCCACTCAGTCCTCCAATCAATATTCATCTCCCTGAGTGATAGCCATGTCAGAAATATTAATAGAGGTAGCAAACTATTTTCATCTTTATCTGCTGGTATGAAACATTCTGTGTGGATATTATGTCTTTAATGTCTTCTTGAAGGAAAATGGGCCAAGAAAAGTAATGTCCTTCTGATAGTGGGAATATGTTGAACAAAATATCAAGATGAGAAAAAAAAATTGTGTGGCAGGGGGTGAGGATGGAAACGTTTCAGAGGATAAAAGGAACAGAAAAATGTATCGCTTATCAAGTTCAACCCAGTAACAGAAGTGTGCTGGCTTACAAGGCTAGTTTTATATCCAATCATTTTTCTTCTTCTTCTCTCACTGAAGTCTGTTTCACATACCTCCTCTTCCCACTTTCTCTTTCTATGAAAGCTGGATGTCCGCATATGGATAATATTATAAAAAACAATGTTTTGTTAAATGTAGGCAGATATGAAATGCAGATTTTAAAACAGAGTTGGGAGTTTGTGACCGGTTCCAAATATTATTGTTTCAAATGGTAGAGATAAACCATGCTATAAAGATGGATTTTGGTCAGAAAGATGGCAAACTGGGTCGGATGCAGACTATATCTGCAGTCCTTTGACCACTGACTTTGAAGTAAGCCTCACTGAACCTTATTTTTGAACAGACATAGAATTTTATGCTGCAATGCAAAAAAGACACAGGCCTGCCCTATTACCTATTCAGCCAAGTTTTCCCCAAATTTTACAGGAACTACTGGTGCCCATTTGGATCAGCAAGAAGCTCCTCTATGTGATTAGCCAATGAGTGCAGCCATTCACATTTTAACAGGAATGCAGAGTTATGTAAATTACTGTATAGATGTCTGGGTAATTGTCACTGCCTGCAAACAGTGCATAGCAAGCAGGCAATGCATAGGAATTACATGGGCTATTCGTAGTCATATCCCCAATAGCTGCACCACAGGTGCCATGGAAGCCCATTCGCTTTTCCCAGAACCAGCCAGTCCATTCACTGGTCACCTTGCAGTGCTGGGATCCTTTGTTGTTGTCGTCGCACCAATCCAGGAAGGAGCCTAGGCAGCACTTTCCCACCTCCTTGCACAGCCAACCATTCCAGGGAGGAGGCGGGATGGGGAGTCTAAAGTAACTACATTACTTTACAATTGTAACTTGATGAAAGATCACTTCACTCCTTTTGCTGTGTTAGTATAATTTGTTTGTTACTTCTACAATTATAGTAAATGGTGAAGAAGGATTATTATATAGCTCAACTTTTTTTGTTACTTCTACAATTATGGTGAAGAAGGATTATTATATAGCTCAAGTGCTTCCTTGTAATGGCGAAGGAAAAACATTGTTCACATATAAAAGAAAATAACTAAAAGTACTGTAACTGTTAAGTTATTTTTGAAACACATTGAAGAAAGTTGTTCTTTTGAAACATCCATTATGTCGGTAATTTCAGTACAGTTTGGGCTCCTTAGAACACTTAGGTAAACACTTTGTAACAAATTATAACTAGCTAAATTTAAAAAGTGTCTTCCCGAGAACTTTCTACTGGGTCACTCCTCAACCATGTACAGTGGGGTCTTGACTTGAGAACTTAATCCGTATTGGAAGGCGGTTCTCAAGTCAAAAAGTTCTCAGGTCAAATCTGCATTTCCCATAGGAATGCATTGAAAACCATTTGATCCGTATCTGCTCTTTTCCGTCCATAGAAACTAATGGGAAGCTGCTATTCTGCCTCCTGGGTCACTCCTCAACCATGTACTCAGTAAGAGCCTGCCCAGAATATTTTTGTTCCTTGGGGAAGAATCACAAAAGATGCACCCACCTACCAACATCATGATACATAGCAGTCAAAGCCAGACATACCGTCTTGATATGTGAGGCAGTAAATCCTATGAGCACTGCTCTCTCCACCACCACCAGAAATACCAAAATAACACACACAAAACCCACCAATTATTTGTTGCCCTCTTACATGATGTACAAGCTGCTCTCTGAGACAGCTGCCTCATTCTGCCCAATGGAAGAGCCAACCCTGTTCTCAGCCATACAAAGTGTGCTGGAAACTGCATGCCTCTACTTCAAGATTTGATTCTGAAGGAGGCAAGTCTTGATCCCATCCTACCAGTTGCCTTTTGGCACTAATGAAAATGGAACAAATGTTTAGCAACAGTTGTTGAACTCAATGCTTCCTCCTCCATCATCACCATTTTGTCTTTTTAAATCACAACTGGAAAGAAAAGTGAGGATAGATTGAAAATATGCAGCTTACTCTAGACCACAAGGTCTGGACCACACGTTTACTACAAGGATAGGGGACTGTGTGGTCTTCCAAGTGTTCTTTATTTGCAGTTCCTATCAGCTTTTACCACCAAGCCTGATGTGAGATGCTGTCCACCAAGAAGCTGTTTTGGCTTCAGGTCAGTGTCTGGTATCAGTAATGGACTGAGTGAGGGTGAGACCTGGTCAGCTGAAAGGCAGATCAAAGAATGGGGATGCAGCTTATGCTGAATGCATTTGTACTTCCTCTGAAAACACAGATGTATAGCTTGGGAGTGCTCCTGGATTCATCTCAGGGGCCTGGATGGCCAGGTTTTGACAGTAGCCAGGAGTGCCTCTGCAAAGTTAAAACTAGCATGCCAGCAGTGCCCTTTCCTGGAGGTCTGATCTGGCCACTGTGACACATGTCTTAGTCACATCCTACCTGGGGTTGCCTCTGGGGAAAAAAAACTTCAGTGGGTCCAAACCATGGCAGCCAGATTGCGAACTGGGATTGGTCACAAAGATCACAGCAGATTCACTGGCTGCTGATCTGTTTCCAGGCCCAATTCAAAACATGCCAGCTGTGCCCTTTCCTGGAGGTCTGATCTGGCCACTGTGACACATGTCTTAGTCACATCCTACCTGGGGTTGCCTCTGGGGAAAAAAAACTTCAGTGGGTCCAAACCATGGCAGCCAGATTGCGAACTGGGATTGGTCACAAAGATCACAGCAGATTCACTGGCTGCTGATCTGTTTCCAGGCCCAATTCAAAATGCTGGTTCTAGCCTATAAAGCCCTACAGAGCTTGAGTCCAAGCTATCTCGAGGGCTGTATATCCCTTTATGAGCCTACTTAGGTGTTAAAGTCATCAGGAGATACCTTTCTCTTGTTCCCACCACCCTCACAGGGCCCTTGGTGGGGATATAGGAGAGAGCGTTCTCTGTTGCTGCTCACATTTACATCTTTGCCGTCCTTTTGCAAGCGGGCAAAGACCTTTCTCCTCAGGCAAGCTTTCCCTTAGTGACTGGCTGCCTGAGTGGGGTTGTTAAATGACTTGTTGTGACTTTCTGATTTGAGTATGTTTTTGGTGTTGTTTTTGTTTACCATGCTCTAGTGCTATATTTGACCCTTCCTAGTATTTCTGTATTTATTGCATTTAGCTTTAAATATTGTCTTTTAATTATGTAAGCCACTTCGAGTCCTTTTTAAGGAGAAAGGCAGGATAATAAGTAAGTAAGTAAGTTAATTAATTAATTCGAGGACCACATTTCTCACCTCTGAGGTACATAACGCTTATTATCAACAGTCCCAAAATACGTACTTTCCCTATAAAAGGGAATTTTGGGCAAATGGATGTGATTATCTTGATGTTGATATAATAAAAACAATAATTTACAACTGCACCAAAAAGATGGTGCCTCATTATCTGGTGACTTCCCATCTGCAAATGAGCCAGTTTACAGGAAATAGATGTAACAAAAGATTATGTATTTAAATTCAATAAAAATGTCACAGAGCACAAGCACAAGGACCCCCTCTTATTTAAAACAGAGATTAGGAACGTGTCACTGTCCAGACACTGCTGGGTTGCAGCTCTCAGGATGCCTTATCATGAGGCATGCTGGGCTAGGGCTGATGGGAGTTGTAGTTTGACATCATCTGGATGGATAAACATTTCTCACCCTTTTAAAAAAGAATTGATATTAAACAGAAAATGAGAAGAAGTGCATGAGAGTAATGCAGTGATGATATTGAATGGGAAACAGGAGGTGGCTGCTTGGAATAAGCAGCAAAGAG